ATTAGACTATTAAGTGATTCATTCATCCTCTTGCGTCTAGCACGAGTCATTGGTCCAACAATGTTTGAGAGTGGATCACGGATGTGAGGTTATTCTTTAAAGCAGTATCTTTAGATCCTCCATTAGCATTCACGACCTCAACTTGCTCGTCCTCTCCATTATTGGTAGCAACATGTCCCTCTCCATTAGTGTTAGCTAGATGGTCTCCATCATTTGAGGAACAAGCTGTTTTGGACTCAATTTGTTGCACTTGTCATGGTAGCTTTTTTTAAATTAAATAGGAAGGTGGGAAAGAAGTTCGGGTTCTAACTGACTTAAAAACACCGAAGGGATCTACCCAAGAGATGAATTTTTAAGGTTGTTATAGCCAAATGATATGAAGCACCCAAGGGGTTTACCCAAGGGATGGACTTACATATCATTTAGTTCCTTAGCTTCCTCCCTCCCTTATTTTATTAAATATCAACTAGAAACTTGGCAGTGCATAAGACTTACCAGTATACAAAAAGCTATTTGCATTGCGACCGGATATATGGAAAGGCAACCTGATCTAGATGTACAAGTCCCTTAATATGTCTAGGTAGACTACTCATAGTATTGTATCTCGTTGATATTCCAAGAGAAGCTTCACCTGCTAATCCATCTGCCACTGAATTTGCTTCTCTAAAAATATGTTGAACAGTATAAGCCCACATCTCCATGATGTGACAAATTTCCATCAAGTGAAAAGAATGCTTCCATGGAACATTCTTCATAGACAGTAAAAGGCTAGCCAGACCTTTATTGTCTGTTTGGATATCCACCTTCTGTAAGCCAAGCTGACAACATTTCCTTACTCCAAACATGACTCCATAAACATCCGCATCAAAACTATCACCTCTTCCTAAGTAACCACTTTCACCATATACAAAGCTACCATTCCTTTTCCTGATGCAAAAGCCATATCCAGAATCTGAATTAATAAGTGAGCCATCAGTGTTAAGAACATAATCACTACCCTTTGAAGCCTTCCACCTAACAGCCATACAAGTTCTCATCCGCACCTTTTGAAGCTGAAAGCCAAAATTATTTTCAATCCAATTCCTCTCTTCTACATTCTGCGCCTTCAAATCATGAGTCATTAAAACATTCCGTATGTCTACCTTGGTTGCTAAAATAACCTTCTCCCTATTGAATTTCTCTCCTTAAAGCATTTTATTCCTCATTTTCCAAATCTCCCAAAGAATTAATGACGGAATAATCTTGATAAGAGCTTTCAAACCTGAAGAGAAACTACCACGATTCCACCACTCATTTAAAACCACAAGCAAGTTAACTTCCTCCCTCCACGGCATGCCAAACAAATGAGAAAAGAATTTCCAAATTTCCTTGACCTCCAAACACTCAAAAAAACAATGCACCATTGAGTCACTTCTGACCTTACAAAAAAGACACATAAATGGCAAAACTTGTATTCCAAACTTACTCAAGATTTCTGGAAATGGCACTAGCGAATTCCGCAACTTCCACATAAAAAAGGAGATTAGCAAAGGAATCAATTTATGCCAATAGCTCTTAGAAAAGTTATCCTCCAATCCTCTCTTTCTTAGGCTCAAATAGGCAGATTTAAAGGTGAAAGATCCGGAAGAAGAATGCTGCCATATTAACAAGTCACAGCCTGGTACAAGTGTTTCATCAGAATGCTCCAGAGTCTGCAACACGTCGAAGGGTAACAAATCCTGCAATTCATGCAAATATAAAGATTTGTTATTTATGAAATCTTTCGTGGTCAAGTCTGGAATAGGGGGATTCTCATTCAAATCATTCCATATCACCCCCGTAGATGTCCAGTTTTCAAACCAGAAGGATCGATCTCCCCCGCAAACTAGAACCTTTGAACCTTGCGACACTTCCTCATCAACTTTCATGATTCTACTCCAAGATGTTCTTTCTCTTGCTGAAATCGAGAGAGAAGAAATAAACTTACTCCATAATCCATTCTGCTGCTTGAACTTCCACCATAATTTACATGAAAAGGCGCGCAACACATCATCAAATTTCCACATCCCAAGTCCATTTTCGGAAGTAGGAAATGTCAGTCGGTCCCAAGCTCTCCAATGCCTCCTCTTTTCTTCGTTCCCCCCATGCCATAGGAACCGTTGACATTTCCTCTCCATTTCCTTCAACACATTCTGGGGGAGGAATAGCTGCCAACACATGACTCGGCACTGCCGATAAAACGTGTCGCAAAAGATTAATCTTCCACCTGGTGATAAGAACTTATTTTTCCAGCTAGCAATTTTTTAGTCTAAGGATTCCAAAAGGAATTGAAATGAACTTGCTCTACTCCTTCCATAGACTCAGCCACCAAAAAGAAACTTTTACTCGTATTCATTCTTTGACCAGAAGCTACTTCATATGCTTCGAAAAATTTGGTTAACTCCTTCAATTGCCTTGCTTCTCCCCTAATAAAAATAATGAGATCATCTGCGAAGCTTAAATGTGAAACCCTCATAGAGCCCGCCGGTGTTCCATATGCAGCAACTTTATTCCTCCTAACAAGATCATTCAGCTTCCTAGACATTGCCTCTGCAATCAAGATAAATAAGTAAGGTGATAGTGGATCTCCTTGCTTTATTCCGCGAGACGATTGAAAGAAACCTGTTGGGGAACCATTCACCATTACTGAAAACCAGCTGCTCTTGAGGTTATTCATAACCAAAAGAACGAAGTGACTCGGAAACCCTAACTCCTTCATTACTTTTTCCAAGAAGCTCCAAGAGACCCTATCAAATGCCTTCATCATATCAATTTTAATAACAACATTGTTCCCAACTGCCTTATGGTTAATGAATTGACAAAGGTCTTGAGCCAAGACAACATTGTCAATTATATCTCTCCACGATAGAAAAGCAGATTGCTCCTCGGAAATAATTTTTGGCATTACCAACTTTAATCTTTCAGTAAGAATTTTTGTGAAAACCTTATTAAGAAAGTTGCAAAACTGATTGGTCGGAAGTCAGAAAATGTACTAATTGAAAACTTCTTCGGAATTAAAGTAATCACAGTACTTGCCACTGCCCTCGGGATTGGAGAACCATTCATAAAATCTCCACACGCAGCTTTAAGATCATCGGCTATTATGTCCCAACATGACTTATAGAAGCTCCCTCCGAACCCATCTATTCCAGGCGCACTTTCTTCATCAAGATTGAAGACCGCCGACTTAACTTCTTTCATTGTAACCGGGCCAATTAACATTTCCTTCTCCTCTAAGCAGAATTCATCATTTAGCTGATCAAGGAAAATTTGTTGCTTTTCATTCTGCTGCAAATGAGGTGAGTCCTCAGTAAGGAGATGCTGAAAAAATTCCACCGCCTCTTTTTCTATTTCTTCCAATTCTATTAAAGTCCGGCCATCATCTGTTTGTATCTTCTGTACCCCCATTTTCATCTTCTTTTCAGCAAGAGAAGCATGAAAATAGGCAGAATTACTATCACCTTCCTTTAGCCATGTTAAACGCATTTTTTGTTGCCAAAAATCTTCATGCTCCTTGAGTTTTTGAAGCAAAAATGCCCTAGCCGAGTGTAGATTTTGCCTATCATTTGTGTGACCAGAATGATCATACAGCACTTCCAACTCCTTCACTCGTTCCTCCGCATTTCTCAAATTCTCAAAAACATCACCAAAATGCGTTTTATTCCATTCTTTTAACACTAGCTTCAGCCTACGCAATTTCATCGAGAAAGCTATCATGCCAAAGCTATTTGCCTGCTGCAACCAACTAGCTTTTACAATATCCTTGAAGTCACCTCTTCTAAGCCACATTCTCTGAAACCTGAAACATCTTGGTCTAGTCTCAAGTTGAGTATCAAACTGAAGCAATACAGGGGAGTGATCTGAGGTAGTGCAACTTAAGAGCTCAATGGAAACACGGGGAAATATTTCCATCCACTCTTGAGAGAAAAGGATATGATCCAACTTCTTACTAACCCAGCCTGTAGTATGTGTCCCACCCCAAGTGAATTCATCACCAACCGAAGGAGCTTCCATCAGATTATTAGCTTCTATACACTGGTTAAACTCGTCAATAGCACCATAATCCTGAATTGTATTTCCCGAATACTCTTCCAAAGACCTTATAACGTTGAAGTCCCCCCAACGACCCAAGGCTGAGATTGATGCAAATTTCTGAAATTTTCCAAATCTGACCGTAGAGATCTTCTCTCCACTTTGTGTGACTTGGCATATACCGCAGTGAGTAGAAAGTTTGTTTGAAGAGGCACATATCCTACCTCAAAATGTATTGCTTGCTCGCCAGCTTGCAACCGGTTAACGGTGTAGAATTTATTATGAAAAACCCAAATTTTACTAGTACTTGAGGAGAACACAAAATCAAAAACCAGCTCACGCCTTATTTCATCCAATTTATCTATGGTTAACATTGGTTCCAAGATCACCAGAAAACCAACTCTATAAATCCGAACAAGAGCTCTCAAACGTCACTGAGAGGCTTCCTTCCTTATTCCTCTAATATTCCAAAAAATAATACTTATCATTGAAAATAGTAGAGATTATTGTAACTGGTGTGATCGCCGAAGCTCTTGGCCATCCAGTAGCCTAGCTCGCTCCTCCTTCGATTTGCGGCCTCTGTTCTTCTTGGTAGAAAAAACGCCTTGCGATTTCCACCCAAAATAGCCTCCATCTTATCGCCTTCAGACCAACACTCCCCTTGCGCAATATCATCATCATCCGTTTCATTCAAATCCATTACCAAGGAATCATCCGGGTAAGCAAGCTTTGCGAAACCTTCATCCTAATTATTGGCCTTCGTTTGATCATCTTGAACCACCTGAGCATGTTGCGTTGCTTCTGTATGCACAATCGCTTCTTCTACTTCATCCTCTTCATTATCCAAAGTTTCAGCCGCGTCCCCATCCAATTCAAGAGGCGCGAACTTATTGGATTGAATTAATGGAGCTTTAACATTCAACTGATTTGCATCTGTTGCTGAATCCTGATCAAGGAGGTGATTGCAAAGAGAACCCATCATCCCCTTGCGCGATGATGTTCTTCTTCAAAACTTCTTCCTCTCGTGTCTCAGGATCAAAAGAGCCATCGTTCCCTTGCGCGATGACTTTCTTTTGTACACCATCAACATCTCCCACCTTTTGACAACCAGAATCCAGAGGTTCACTATCAATAATATCAACGGGAATAGCTCTTTTCTCCAATGCCGACAAGCCCCAAGTCGATTCCCCGGCATGAGTTTCCGCTGGCATCAAATTTCCTGCAGGCTGTGATTTTTCTACGCCCTTAACTATAAGAGGGTTTTCTTGAATGATAGTGACCTGTAAATCGTCCCTTTTACCTTTTTTTTTGGAACCCCAAGTAACTTTTTTCTTCTGCAAACGCAAGCCACCCTTAGCCCCAGTCGAAATTTTCTCTGCAGCAATGCGTTCTGCCGTTTTCAGATCCTCTTTGATCACTCCTTTTCCTTTCCTACAGTCCACTTCTTTATGTCCAATTTTGCAGCACGCTGGACAATAAGACGGAACATGTTCATAGGTATAATGCTGCTCGTACTTCTTCCCTTTTTTCCCAATTCTGATTGATTTTGGCAAATCCTTCATTAGATCAACGTCCACGCAGAAATGCGCTACGGAAGGCCTTGTCAAATTAAGGGTTGGTGTATCCACTTGCAAGGGCTTCCCAACAGCGGAGGCAATGGAGTAGAGCACCGTAGGGTGTGTCCATTCCAAAGGCAGCTCATGAAGCGAAACCCAAATTGGGACGATCGGAGGATCTTCCTCAAACTTAAACCCCGGTTGCCATTTCAAAATGCGCATTTGAAATCCGCCAATATTCCATATAGATGTGATCCAACATCGTTGATAGTCCTCCTCCAATTCGAACCGAATTAACACGTCTCGGATTCATAAGACCAAGGTCATAGCCACCTTTGAATCCAATTTTCTTAAAGTCTTCCCTCAAGATCTCCATTTTTGGTCGACCATACGAGAATTTGCCAACCAGATTCATCTTGTGTGGAGCGATCAAATCGTCGAACTCATCTTCTTCATATTCAAGCTCCGGAGTGCCATTGAAGAAAGTGACCTTCTTTGGGTTTTTGAGGGATTGGAAATCCACCATATTCGGTTTTGCAGTAGCTGTTTTTGCAAAAAAGACTTGTGAAAGTGCGACATTGTCCAGTGGGGACTGGCACGGTATCAAGGGTTCGTGGTATTCCGGCCATGGTGGCCGGAAAAGAAGCCGTCAAAGCTAGGGTTTGTATAGTAGGGAGAAGAGAGAAGAAAGTCGAGAAAATTTTCAAATCTAAAATATTGTTTTATTTAATTGATAAGTGACTAAAGAAAATGGTATCTTTGTCATGGTAGCTTTTGTCTTTTTCTTCGTATAAAGAAGGAAGTGAAGAATGGACTGAAGGTGTTTGATAAATTGTTCCAGTAGTAATCTAAGTTGTAGTATATCCAGTGTAGTTCGTGAGTAGTTTAGGTGTATGAATTATGTTGTGTTTGCGAGTTATAATTCCGTAGTCATCTCATGTTGATGATAATGATTTGGAAACTCAAGTTTGTAATGGATGTTATATATTTTGGCAAATTTCTTCTCGGAGTAATGGATGTTGTATTTGTTTTAGGTTGTCTAATGGATGTTGTATTCGTTTTTTGCCTAAAGACTAAAATCTCAAAAATAACACATCATATGTATTTCAGTTTGGCAACATTCCATTCAAACACATTTGAAACGAAAAAAAAGTTAACTCAAAATGAAACACTTTTTGCAAATCTGAAGCTGATAAGGAAAAGAGCATAATTTAAGGTGTCGGATTACACAAATTTCATTGCCAAAGATAGTAGTTATATAGCTTAAAATGCCTTACACCAACAAAATTGTAGGATGCGTACAAAACGAGACAGCTGGAACACATTTCCGGTCATTAAAACATCCCACAAAGACATTCTACATTGTCTGCTACCAAAATAACATAACATAGCATCCAACACCACAAAATACTGTCTACAAATGTGTTGAGATGATTAGCAAAATAATACGAACAGGCTAAACTTCATCAATTAAGGCTTGGAGAGTTTCATCTTCCCTTTCAGCTTACCAATATCTTCCTGTTTCATATGAGGACCATACATTGCATGTAACTCATTGGTCCTTGCAGTAACTGCCTTTGCTGGAATTGGTTTGGTCTTCTTAGAAGAAATGGTGGACTGAGCATACATTGTGGAAGAAGGGTCTCCCAATCCACACATCTTAATTAGCTCATTTGTTCGTGCAATAGCTTTGGCTGTCAGATCAACAATGTTGTCACATGTACTTTGCGAGGTCCAATCAATCTTACCATCTGGTTTCTTCATATTCTCCAATTGTGTGGTCTGATTTAGCTGAAAATTTGCTTTCTTCACATTGTGTAGTTGAGTTATCTTATGTGCATAACTCACCTTGTACTGAGGGGGCACAACATCACCAAACAGTTTTTCAAATTTGGTCTTATCAACAGATGCAACTTGTGCAACTGTTTCCTTCTTCTGGCTTGTATCATCATCTGGTTCATCAATAAGTTGAAAGCTAGAATCTTTCTTCTGATTTCCTCTCTTTTTTGTCTTAGTAGCCTTCTTTACTCCTTTGGCCTGATTGAATAAGTATAATATTCAGTTAGAGTTCTTGCAAAAGACTGCCCAGAATCTGACTAAATAATGATGTACAATTATATTATGAATGTTTTCAGAAACGTCACTAATACCTGATCATTGATAGAAACAAAGATTGTACTACCCCTATGTTTCTTGACTTGTGAGGCAGTCTTTTTGGGATCATCTAAGAAAATTACATCTAGTTCATCATCGGCAAACCTCTTTGTAGGTTATTGAGGCTGTGAAAGACACTAAAAGCCAAAACAAAGAAGTGAATTTTTATAAGGGAATATTGTCAATCCTACTCATCATACTATATTATAATTGGGGAATATGGATTTTAGTTTGGTAGTCCTCAAGCATAATTGTTTAGTCTATTGTACATTTATTCATGAGATCAATACAATTAATTACTATAATTTTGTTTAAATCTTTATTTATCCAACACTAATAATTATCATTGTAAATCATCATAAAGGTTTTAACCTTTAGTATTCATGAAAAGAAAGACCAAAAGTCTGAAACGGGAGAAAAAAATACACGAAGTCACAACGAATTTGTAGATTATGTAGAATTATAAAACTTCAATTTAGTAAACTTTCATAGTTGCAACCGAATTGTCTTCTACTCACAATAGTGTTAATACATTGCAGTAAGATAACCTCAACTTTTGGTGGAATTTGGATGATTGGTTGTGTTTGAGCTATTGTTGTGGTGCTTTTTTGCTCCCTTCTTCCACTGTAAAATTGCAGTGAACCACCATCACTAAAGCTCAACATACAAGTAAGCACTGTACCTTGAAAAAGTTTACTTCACGCCTTTAATTACATGATTCACAAAAACATAAATAAATAAATAAAATCATATAATGAAACTTCATACTCAAAATATATAATCACGGCAACTTCAATCACGCACGTGCGAAGCACGTTCAAGCCCCCTAGTGCTTCATAATGTTTATAAGGGAACCACAAAAACTGCAATTTACCTTCCCTTTTCCTTTCGTAACCTCCTTTGTAATCTGAACATTCTTCGGAATTTTATGGGTTGAGATAAACTCTGAAAATAACACATAGACAATAAGCAACAGATTATCAAGAATGTACACTTACAGGCAACATATTGAAAGTAATCAAAATAAACCTGCATGATGCCCTTATTCTTATGTTCTGATGCATGTTTGCTCTCAGGTTTTACAATTTTCCTTGGACTTCTCCTCAAAGCTTGTTTTGTCACATTTTGCTTAGAAGCATGTACATCAGTGTGCTGAACATTGTCACATTTGAGGAAAGCACTTATGATGTGTATAAATGAGTAACCCTAAATCAAAGTTGAACTGATAAGTAAACAGTAAACACTTAAACTCACATGGTTTGTTTTCGTTTTTTTCTTCAACTGGTCTATTTTCCTCTTTGCTTCAGCTTCAATGGCCTTTATTTCCTAATAGCAAAACATCGAATCAAATCAATATTCACTAGTTGAATCACTGAAAAAAAAAACTATAGTGTCTTCTTACAGCAATGATGTTTTCATCAAGATCAACTGACTGCTTGTTGGACTCATCAGAGATGGTAAGCTTTCTCTTAACCCCGCAGATGAACATTTTGATGTTATATATTCCCTACATAACCCTGAACTGGTCTTATACTTAATTTTAAGTTAAAGTACACTTACAGGCAACAAGGTAGGATAATGGATTCTGAGTTTTCTGATGCAATTGTCTCCACATTAAGCTTTACCACATCAGAGAGGTCATCCTCATTGCTGCCAAGGTCTACAACCCCTTCTTCAGGATCAATGAAGCGGCACGTCCTCCGGTTGTGACCTGTGATCCCACAGGAACCACATCTGTTTTGCATCTCACTTGTAGCAGGCCCCTATGATTGATTTTGTGTCCCTTGTGAGGCATTTCTTGAAGTGCACTTTCTCCTATTATGACCTGAAATTTTACAAATTGAACAATGGGAGTTTTGTCCAATCCGTCTCAACTTCTGTTTTCCATCCTCCTCAATTATCCTTTTAGCTAGCCTTTTTTTTCCCTTTTATTACTACTCTTTGGCCTGCCAGGACCTCTAGCATAAATTGGTGGAAGAAGTGGTGTTCCCGGTACTTTTTTCCATTCAGATTCACCTCTCATTGACAATATACATGGCTGATGACAGTTTTGATAAGTCTCGAAACTATAACAGGGATAGACAAACTCCATTGGATCTTTCTCAGCACACCAAACTGCAGAGATGACATGTGGACAAGGTACTCCACATAGCTGCCATTTTCTACAGCTGCAAGTCTTAGCTTTCAAGTCCACTGCATCTTTCTCATTATCTTCATCCCCCCCCCCCTCAACCTCAAAATGGTTCTCATCATGAGGTGTACGCTGACATACTTTTGCCTCCTTAGAGTTGTGCATTATCCTCCTGAAATCCTAGGACATATTGCCCGATTACTCCACAAACCATTAGCTCTTTCTCTATTTACATACCACCTCTCGACTAGTATCCTTCTAATTTCATCTAGCATGCTTATTATTGGCATGCACCTAGCATCCCTAATCATTCCATTTAATGACTCACAATGGTTATTCAAAAGAATATCACACGTGGGCCAAAAACTGAAGAATGCCCTGCACCACTCTGATTTTGTTTTGTCCTTCAACCACTTAGCTGCATCTTCATTCAACTCTGCTATCTTTTCAATCTGATAATTGAACTGATTCTCTATTGTAGATTTAGCTGCTGCCCATAGCAACTACCTAAGTGCTTCACCCCTAAACCCCTGATTATAAAAATTATGGTGCATATGCTTGACACAAAACCTGTGATTAGCATTTGGAAACACATTTTCACAAGCCTGAATTAGCCCTTTCTGTTTATCACTCATGAGAGTCCATTCATTGTCCGTTTCAATCATGAGATCCTTCTTCAACAGCTTCGGAAACCATTCCCATGTTAAATTACTCTCACCCTCAGTAACAGCCCATGCAATTGGATATACTCCATTGTTTGGATCAACTCCTACTGCTGTGAGTAAGACCCCTTTACCCTTCAAAAAAGTCCTATCTTCACCTATAACAGGCCGGCAAGAGGACAGAAATCCATCTCTAACTGCTGCAAAACAGATGTACAGCCTTAAGAACCTGGCCTGCCATGTTTTCTCATCAACAAACATTGGTTCAGCAACTAAGTCCATTGTAGAGCCCGGATCACTCCTTACTATTTCCCCGCAACAATTCCTCAGCTTCTGATATTGATCTTCAGCAGAACCATACACAATTCTCATGGAAATCCTTCTTGCTTTATAAGCTTATCTTAGTGTGAGGAAAAACTTGTACTTCTCCTTTGCGAGCCTCCTGTATCTCTTAGTTTTGATCGTAGGGTCATCCTTAACCAATTGAATACAAACCCTGCCAGCAAGGCCTGAGGTTACACTCTTATTCTTATGCCTGAATTTGCACTTGTGACGAGGCACAAATGTCGTCACCACAGGACACCCAGTACAGTTGCTCACAAATATCTCCCAGTCACAAATATCTTTCCCCGTCCTGCACACAGCCTTAATTCTCCATTTGTCATTCTTCTTGAACCTCCATCTCCTACCTCTTCTTATATTCCAGTGTCTGATGGCTTCCTTACATTCAGCCCGAGAACTAAAAGTCAGACCACATTGAAGGGGTGGTTTCTGCATGTCCTTTGGATGAAATACCAAAGGCTTCTCTACATCTTCTTCATCTGATCCATTTAGACTTTTCAAGTCTTCCTTGGAATCTGGTTTAACCTCTGAGCAACTATTGTAATCGTAGTTTTTCTCGTCATATTTGTAATTCTTTAGGGGTTTCGACTGCACCTTTCTTTTTCTACCTGCTGATGTAGAAGCTTTCTGTTTTGCACCCCCTGAATCTTGTTCACCACCATTACCATCTGACCCTTGTTCATCACCATTACCAGTTGACCCATGTTCTTCATACTCATTCTCAGAATCATCCTGGTCATATTCTGAATCTCTTTCATCCCAATCTCCATCGATGCTGTCAGTATCACTTTCACTTCCACCATCTTTACCAGTGGTATTATCAGCAATGGCATTGATTGGATAGTCATACAGAATCAGAAGCCTATCACTAGCTTCAGCATCCTTGCACAACTATTGCACTTTAGTGTCACTAATAACCTCCTCTAGATCATGCTCTTCATCCCCCTCATAAATAGAGTAGAACTTTGTTCCCCCCTTGTTCCTAGATGCAGAATCACACATCACACGCAGATCATAAAGCAAAAGGCCATCAGAATCAATATAATCGAACACACTTGTCTCTCCACCAACATATGGGTAGGGTTCTTTCATTATTTCTCCATGGTGGAAAAATTGAACTGTCAACAGCTTGCTAGTTCTATCTGCACATGACAACAAACACACCAACATTAGGACCCTACTATCTTGTATATTGTTTATAGAAACCAATACCACTTGACTAAATAATACTGAAAGCAACAAAAAAAAACAAACATTATAGAGCCATTTCATTTTCAGTTACTGCTTTAACTGGTCCACATACACAAAATATCTCAGCATATTATAACCCTACACTAGATAGATCACATTTAATAATACCCATTTGATTCTCTTTGTCCCTTTTCGAAAAACATATAGGGCCCTTCATCTTTTGAAAATTTTCCATAACGCAGAAACCCTAACCCTCACCCCCAATTTCAAACAACGAAATTATAAAAAGAGCTTCGACTTTTTACACATTCCCATCGAAATAAGAAACTGATCTATGGAAAAAAGGGGCAAGTCAACCAGAAACCCTAGCCCCAAATTTTTAAACACTTACTCAGAAAAAGAGTCAACTTTTTCACATATTTCCATCGAATAACTAACAGATCTAATCCAAAAAAAGGACAAAAACACTATAAAGGACAAGATCTTACTGTAGTTTGGGATTGGATCATTATTATACTTCTGCTCTCTCAATTTAGACATCGAGAGAAGCTCTTCAATGCTTTCTCGTCTCCTCGCCTTCAACTATTAATTGTTTCCTTTCGATTACTACGGTTTCTGTTGATCAAACTGGAAAAATTGGCCGGATCTAAGGTTCTATGACAAAGGCATTTTGTTGGAATATCAATGGTTTTTTCTTCTAAAATGTAAATTTTTTTGGGGGGAAAGGAAATGTAATGCGGATGAATTGAAAAAGACTTTGTGGCGTTTTTGTTGAAAAAGGCTGAATTTTTTTTTCAGGGTCAACAAATGTGGGACCCACCGCTTGTAAGAAAACAATAAAAAATTCAGAGTGTAACGGAGAGGTTAAAATTTCCGTTAATTAGAATAGAAAACTTGTTAAAAGACCAAAATTGGGCAAAAAAATTTTATTAGGGAACTAAAATCGGTTGTGAAAATGTTTTGGTGACTGGGTCAGGCTACCCCCAAGGGACCAAAACGTGGATTCGTTCTATTACAAAATAACTTTCACCACCAAAGTTTTGGTTTGCTGCGCAAAAAAAAAAAAAAAAAAAAAAAAACCAGCAAGAACTACTTTTAAGTCTATATAATTACATATCACAATACCAACAAAATTCAAAGAAATTTGAAACACTGAACACTAGAGAGCCAAAAAAAAAAATTTACCTTGGTTTTGTTACTTTTGACATGTAATTCCACTGAAATTTCTTGTGAATACGCAAGAAGCTCAGTGTGGTAGTGTGGTGGTGGTGCAATTTGATAAAAAAAAAATAGAGAGAACTTTGAGTTTTGGAGATGAGGGTTTCGATTTATATAGAACAGAAAGAGGAAAATAAAATTTTGAAACAACCAAGCCTTGTTTTCTTTACCCTTTCCACCAAAATGTTCAAAAAAGACTTCAACCAAAATTCGACATTTATTACATTTTTAACATCTAAAAAACCACTCCAAGAGATTCAAATCTTAACTTTATAACTTAAATACCATTGTGTACTTGTTTTAAAAACAAATGAGACTCAAAACATTAAAAAAACTTAAGAACTAAACTTGCTTTAAAACGTAAAAGTTGAAAACCAAGGTAAATACCATTACCTTGGTTTTGTTGCTTTTGACATGTAATTCTACTAAATTTTTTTGTGAATATGCAAGAAGCTCAGTGTGGTGCAATTTGATTAAAAAAATAGAGAGAACTTTGAGTTTTGGAGATGAGGGTTTTGATTTATATAGAACAGAAAGAGGAAAATAAAATTTTGAAACGACCAAGCCTTATTTTCTTACCCTTTCCACCGAAATGTTCAAAAAAGACTTCAACCAAAATCCGACATTTATTACATTTTTAACATCTAAAACACCACTCCAAGAGATTCAAATCTTAACTTTATAACTTAAATACCACTATGTGCTTGTTTTAAAAACAAATGAGACTCAAAACATTAAAAAAACTTAAGAACTAAACTTCCTTTAAAACATAAAAGTTAAACATGTTAACACCAAACAAAATTAGTGCACCTTTTTCTACTAAAAAGAGGACTCAAAAAAAGTTATATACCAACTTAAAAATATGATCTGTTGCTGCCAATAACCAGTTTCATAACAATGCAGTTGTTACAAGTGCAAAGCAACTTTGTGGCTTACGGACAAACATTACCAACTTTGTGGCCAAAATACTAAGGGATAATATGAATCATTCATAAAAAACCATCCTACTTAAATAAATTTAACTAAGCCTTTTGGCTAAACATGTAAATATTCTAAGCCACCATTTGATTAACAGCCAAACATCAAAATCAAAGTAAACTAGTTTATAACAAAGTTATAAATGACCAACTCACTCTCTATTTTCTATTTCATATTACGACCCCCTTCATTCCTTCCAACATCTTGAGTCCTTTGACCAGGCTCCTATGATAGCTGGTTAGATCCTTGTTTAAAGATGTTAACTCATCTTTCGCAGAGGTTTTTACTCCTTCAGCTTCTTTTTTCTGAAGAATTATATCAAAATTTGCTTTTCTGACGCACTCCAGATCCTGCTGGAGCTTGGATTTTTCTCTATCTTTCTGATCATTGAGAGATAATTTTTGTCCAACATCATTCCGAAACATTGGTTCCGACTCCTTCAACGTTGCATTAGTTATTGCAATGTTGCATCATTACATAGCATCGCAACTTTGCGTCATTATCTAAAGTGTTGCATGGACATTTGCAACTCATTTAGTGCCGCAACTTTTATGACATATGAGCTTTTTTGGGTTTTTTTTTGTTGTTGTTTTATATGTTCGGTTTGTCTCATAATTTTAATATAATCTTGCAACATATTTATATGAATAAATAAAAATATAATGTAAACGTACTTGTTCTTAATCAAAATATAGTTATAAAATACAACACAAATATCATAATCGAATAGTATATGTATTAAATTGTTGATCAAATGAAAAATAAACACAACATTATACATGATCCTCCAAAGTTAATATATACATTTCTGTACTGCAATGACCATGACTACAACACAATCTAGATCATGATGACCATGGCATCCACACCCAACAAAAGTTTTATTGAAGCCTAGACCATATGACAACAAATAGCAATCATGTAAGTCATTAACGTTTACTACAAGTGATTCAAAATGATACTTTCTAGTCATTTCTTGATGAGCATGTGAACCTGATAATTATGATCTATATAGTTAGAGTTTCTAGATAATGTGTTCCAAAATAGTTCAAATTTTAATGATTAGGATAAAACTGAAGTTTCCATGAAATATGTATACTACATTGGAGTATTAGAGTCAATGAAAGATATAGGTTTTCAATAATTTTGTGATGAATTGCAGCCTATCCAGATTTTCAATTATCAATCCCCAACATAAGAATAGTAAAAGAAACCACAAAAAAAAACTACATGTCTATCTCTGTTTAGTTCAAAGCACTTGTTCATGTCGCCCATCTCCTTAGTAATTAACCGTAATTTACCAATTTGGTCATTCTTGCTTTTATGTGTTTGATGATTATGGCCCGCTTCCAACTACTACAAATATAATGGTATTGGAACTAAAAAACTATTAAGAAAATGAAATACATATATAAAGTCCTATCATTCTTATAATAAAAATAAATTCACATTCCTCCACAGTTAAGTGTCCCAAAAAGACTAGAAGATCATAATTTTCTTCTTTGTAGAACATAAATATCATAAATTCGTATTTCAATGATATCAATTCTCAAGGGTATATATTAATGAAAGAAGCATGATTGTTTTACTGTCTAAATGAAAATACAAAAGGATTTGAAAGATACACTTTTTTTTTTTAAAAAAAAAAACAATTTTATTAATAATAAAGAAAAAATAGGGCAGTGAATATTCTAAACCCTATATCAAATACAATTTGGATCTTAAAGTAAAGTTGAATCTTTCTTCAATCTAGCGGACCAACGAACTTGAATTTTCTTTTTTGGCTTGGCTTTTTTCGAATGATTGTGATATGTTGGAGCAGAAATTTCACTATAAAAGGACTCTTGTTCCATTCCATATTCCATATCAAAATCTTCATCATCAGAACCATTAGAGGCAAGATTTGGTTCTCCTTCGGAATTGATGTGCTCAATCAAGAAGCTTGGATTAGAGGGCTCAGTTATTTTTCCTACATCCGTGTCATCTTTAGATAAGAATTGATGATGCTTTTTGAAAGATACACATTTACCTATGCAAGGACAATAAGTTCAGATATGAAACTTCATCTTCAAAGGTAACATCAATGGTAGCCAAAACCAAATCCAAAAGTATATAATTTTTTTATGGAATAAAAAAGTTCGGTAATCACATAAGCTATCCTGCTAATCTATGTCCAAATAAATAAAATGGATACATAATGCATTCACATAATAACACGGTAATATTTGGTCTCATACGTTGAAATCCAGGGCTTGAACATTACCGACTTGTATCTCGTGAAAAATGGAATAGCAGATTGCTTGTCGATCTCTTCTCCTCTTGAATATTTCTAACCGTCGTTGGTTTCAAATCTGTGCCCATTGCACTTGAAAATTCCATAGATTGACCGAGGGTAGAAATATTTTTGCAAAAAAATTATCATAGCAGAGGTTTTTGTGACTATCGCTAGCGTAATTCATTACCTTCGGACTAGTCAAAGCAGATATCCTGTTTGGGTTTTTGGCTAATAGCAATCCCATAGAAGGTTTGAATCGGGAAGGTAGAATTTGTTTTGACTTTTAAGTGATAAAATGAAATCTTTTGGCCGCCCAAAAATGATCTTCCCCTTTTTATTTTCCCCTATATATTTAGGAGATTTAATAGATTATAAGGAACTTCTAGCTCTTTTAGTTAGAACCATTTATTCAATTCCATGTTTATTATTT